TTCTCTTCGCTTAACAATTTTACAGACAGAAAAGTGGTCCTTACCACATACCTTAGGAAGTTCAGTATCCATTTCTTTCCTTTTTAACTCAAGAACTTTCACCTTTTCACTTCAAGAAAGTGCTTCACAGCTTCTCACTGGCAAATCCAAACTCTGCGCAACACTACCCTTGTCCCTTGGGGCCACTGTTCAGCCAACTAAGAGCTAACTGAACACGAGGCCTGCAATACCAAGACAGTCACTCTGATGACCCGAGATGGGTGCTGCAAGTGATTCCTGGCTAACAGGAGTGTATACAGCACAGAGACACTAGACAAAGGGACCATTCACTTCCCAGCCAGGACAGTGAGATTTCACCATGCTACTCCAAATGGCACACAATGCAAAATCTATTAATTGTTTCTTTCTGGGATTTTCCAGGCAATGTTTTCAGATGGTACTTGAGCACACGCAACTGAAAACTGTTAAGAAGTGAAACTGCAGCTACAAAGGAACTACCGGGCCAGGCGCAATAGCATAGTGGCTAAAGTTCTTGCCTTGAACGTGCTGAGACCCCATATGGACACCGGTTCTAATCCCAGCAGTCCCAGTTTGAAGATATTCCTCTTTTTCTCACCTCCTCTCTGTATATGTGCCTTTCCAATAAAAATAAATAAATCTTTTTTAAAAAGAATAAAAAGGAACCACCTTACCCCACACCTCTCCTCCCAGTCTGATTTAGATGCCCTTTCTGCATCTGTAGTAGTATCTTAGTGAAGAACAATGGTCTTAAATTTCTGCTACAGCCACAGGCTCTAAGCAACCTGAGGGCAGGAGCAGCCTGCGACTCAGTTTTGTATCCCTGGACTATCAATATACCAAACCTCACTGCACTGAGACATGAATCCCCTCTCAGACTTGACATAGCACATACATGTGCAAAAACAGATGCCACATAAAACTTAGTTGGACTCATAGAGCATACAAAGTATAATTAATACTAAGTCATGAATAAAGCATAAAAATCTAGAGTTGATTAAAGACACCATACCTAGAATTAATTTAAAACTATCCCATAGGGCCCGGCAGCGTGGCCTAGTGGCTAAAGTCCTCGCCTTGAATGCACCGGGATCCCATATGATTGCCGGTTCTAATCCCGGCAGCACCACTTCCCATCCAGCTCCCTGCTTATGGCCTGGGAAAGCAGTCGAGGACGGCTCAAAGCTTTGGGACCCTGCACCCTTGTGAGAGGCCCAGAAGAAGTTCCTGGATCCTGGCTTTGGACCGGCCGCTGCGCTCACTTGGGGAGTGAATCATCAGAGGGAAGATCTTTCTGTCTCTCCTCCTCTCTATATATCTGACTTTCCAATTTAAAAAAAATTTTTAAACTATCCCATAGCACACCAAAAAAAAAAACTCAACTGTACTTTTGTGTGCTGGACACAAATGTTTTAAAATTATCATTTGTAATCACACAAAAAGTATCAAATATTTAAAGAAAAAATTTGTATACACAAAATTATAAGACATACCTATAGAAATTTTAAAAGATTTTTTTCAAAGTTAAGAGTTATTTGATACTTACAAATTGAAAAGACTTAACACTGCTAAGGTGTCAATTCCTCCCAAATACATACATATATTCAATTCCAATTCCAATATGTTTTAAAAACTGACGAGCAGATTCTGAAATGCATAGGGCTATGTGGAGAGCCAAGAACAGGCAAGACCGTCAAATGGGACAAAGTCACATATTAAGGATTATTATAAAGTTATATCAATACGGTGATATCAGCACAAGGAAAATCAAAAGCAAATCAGAGCTTTCAGACAGACCCATACTTACTCATCCGACTTAAGCAAGACGTCACCATGAGAAGGGCAAGGATGATATTACAGATGCAGTTCCTGGGGGAGGGGAGGGGGAAGGCAGAGATTTGGCCAGCCACCTGTATTAGTGTGCCTGAGCTGAGCCCCAGTTATTCTGTTTCCATCGCACCTTCCTGCTAATGATCAACCAGATGCAGCTCAAGTACTTGCCACCCCAGTGAGAGACCCAGATGGAGTCCCAGGCTCCTGGTGCTCATCCAACCAAGTCCTGGTTTTGGGGGGGCATTCTGGGAATGAAGGAGCAGAAAGCTCTTTCTCGTTCAAATACAATGAAAGTAAACCACAAAAAATTATTTTAATAATAAAAATGGTGTTGGGTCAAACAGATATCCACATCCTGAGTACTCTTGCAGTTTAGCCCTTTTTTTAAAGATTTATTTTTTTTTAAAGATTTATTTATTTATTGGAGAGTCAGATATACAGAGAGGAGGAGAGACAGAGAGGAAGATCTTCCGTCCAATGATTCACTTCCCAGGTGAGCGCAATGGCCAGTGCTGCACCGATCCAAAGCCAGGATCCAGGAACTTCTTCCGGGTCTCCCACAAGGGTGCAGGGTCCCAAAGCTTTGAGCCATCCTCGACTGCTTTCCCAGGCCACAAGCAGGGAGCTGGATGGGTAGTGGTGCTGCCGGGATTAGAACCGGCAACCATATGGGATCCCGGTGCATTCAAGGCGAGGACTTTAGCCACTAGGCCACACCGCCGGGCCAGATTTATTTTATTTTTATTGGAAAGGCAGATATACAGAGAGGAGGAGAGACAGAGAGGAAGATCTTCTGTCCGCTGATCCACTCCCCAAGTGACTGCTACTGCCGGAGCTGTGCCGATCTAAAGTCAGGAGCCTGGATCATCTTCTAGGTCTCCCACGCAGGTGTAGGGTCCCAAGGCTTTGAACTGTCCTTGACTGCTTTCCCAGGCCACAAGCAGGGAGCTCAATGGGAAGTAGGGCTGCCAGGATTAGAACTGAAGCCCATATGTGATCGCAGCGTGTGCAAGGTGAGGACTTCAGCCGCTACGTCACCACGCAGGGACTGCAGTTTAGCCTTTTAAGTGGCCAAAGATAATGCCTACAATCTATCTAGACTTAAATGTAAATTGCATGCCTTAAATGCAAAAAGTGAAATAATATTTCTACAAGGCCACACAGAAAGATCTCTTTATCTTCTTAGGCCAGAACAAATTTCTTAACGCCACTCAAAAGGTGGCAGACCTGGGGCTGGTACACTGACTCAACTGACTAATCCTCCCCTTGCAAGCACTAGCATCCCACCTGGGCACTGGTTCCTGTCCCAGCTGCTTTACTTTTCATCTAACTCCCTACTTGCACCTGGGAAAACAGTGCAGCATGGCCCAAAGCCTTGGGACCCTGCACCCACATGGGAGATCTGGAAGAAGCTCCTGGCTCCTGACTTCAGATCAGCTCAGCTCTGGCAGTAGCAGTCACCACTTGGGGAGTGAACCAGAGAGTGAAAGATTTTTCTGTCTCTCCTTCTCTCTGTAATTTTGCCTTCCCATTAAAAAAAAAAAAAAACGCAGCTGCCATAAATAAAAAGACTTGCAAAATATATTTCTTTAAAGTTAAGAATTTGCATTTATCAAAAAACATAACAGTGAAAAGATGTAAATCCACTCTAGAAACCAGAAGAGACTATCCAGAATGAAGAATTATAAATTCACTCAGAAAGAAACATACCAACGAGAACCAGGCAAAAAGTCACAAGAGGGCACAGGAAAGGTCGATTAAAAAAACACTCAACCTCAATCCCCAGCAAAACGCAAAATAAAACCATGTTGTTGTAAATCCCTTCTCTACCAGAAGACCAGCCATCTTCCAAAGCAACAGGCACCATCAGCACGGGGGTGGGGTAGGGTGGGGGGATCCCTGGGACAGCATTACTGAGAAACTGTTCAACAACATCCAATCCTAAAGCTTTCACATCCACAAACCTCAAAAGCCAACTACTCCTCTCCCGGGTAAACCCCATTTAGAACGTTCTACGTTTCGAACTGTTGGGGGTTCACTTTGTAAAAACTCATTCCCTGCACCCTTAGCCTTGTAAACTTTTTCTACTGATTGTAGTTTTCTAATGTTTCTTTGACACAAAGTTCCCAGCGATCTCAAGGTTAGCATTTTTTGGAACAAGAAAGAGTTTCTGGGACAATGATGAAATTTTACTAACAAAAATTCCAGAGCAAAAGGAAAGCTACTGACATAATACCAGCCAAGAAACAAAAATAAAGACTGCCAAGAGAGATCATTTTCCTCCGACTTCATGAAGCACTGGAATTCATTCTCTCAGCAAAGAAAGGAGGTGATTATCCCACACGGCCACCGAAAGAAAAAAATACGTTTGCAAGAAATACTGGTGCCTGCTGAAACCAACCCTGACAGCGCGGGCAGATCGGAGGAAAGAGGGAGACAGTCCAAAAGTTCTGGTTAACTCTACGCTTTAAGGATACCGACTCAGGTGATCTAGGACGCCCAAAAGAATAAAAGATTGAAAATAAAATCACAGTAACTGTAAAGGCAAACACGGGCACCACAAATCCGACCTACCGGAAATCCTGTGGTTAATTTGAGGCTTGCCCCGCTAAGTCATAAGGTGATTCAGTGATGGCTACAAACGCTCCCCCGAGCGCATCCTCAGGAGTCACCTGGCACACCCTGTTGTCCATCACCTGCCCGGAGACAAGGCCAAGCCGGCATCCCCGAGGCCAACTCTGCAAGCGAGGGACCACCTGCAGGTGGTCTTGTCCTCCCCCGGTCCTCCCAGAGGGAACTGACCTGTGGCCTCGAGGGCGGGGGTGAGGGGTCGGTTCCCCCCAGGACTCGCGGGGAAGTGTGTATGCGTCCCCACCGCCCACTCCACCCCACACACACACATCCCGTCCCCACCAAGCTGCCCCGGTCCCTCCAACCAGGCAGGCACTCTCGCCGGCGAGTTTCCTCCCCGCGCCCGCAGCAGCAGGGTCGCCAGGCGGCAGCTGCTGACGGAGCGAGCGACCGCAGGGAACTTAGGCCCCGCCGGGGCCGGGCGCGCCCGCTCGGCAACTTCGGGGGCGGCCCAGCCGCGCGCCCCGCGGCCCCCGGGACTCGCCGGCCGCCCCTGGCCTTGGCGCAGCGCCCCTCACCTTGGAAACGCTGGGTGGACTTCGCTGTAAACATTAACTTCCCATGCAGCCGGCAGCCGCGCCGCCGCGTCTCAGCGCCTCGGCCCCGCTCCGGGCTCCCGCGGGCCGTCCTCTCCCGCGTCCTCGGGGCGCAGCGCGCGGGCTCGGGGGCTTGGGGGCGCCTCCCCGATCCTCAGCCGGTCCTCGGGGAGCCGCTGCCTCGGCCACCACCGCCGGAGCCCCCTCCGGTGCCCGCCGTCCGCCGGTTTCCCCTGGGTCCGGCCCGGCCGCCGTCAGGAAAGCCCAAGGCGCAGGCGCGGCAGGGCCTTAAAGAGACCCAGCCGCCTCTACCGCATAATGGGTTCGAGCAGGTTAGGGGCCGGCGAAGCTGACCCAAAGAAAAAAAATAAATAAATAAATAAAAGCAGAAGCCGAAGGGATTGGGCCGACTGGGGCGGGGGCGGGGAAATGGCTCTCTCCTCCTCTCCTTCAAAGCCCCAGCCCTCGGCCCCGACAAATTGCTGACTTGTCCCGTCGCTCGGACCGCCCCTTCCATGCGAGAGCCCCGGAAGACACACACCCCCCTTCCTCGCGAGCCCGGAGCGACCCCGCACCCCAGGCTGCGGAGCCTCGGGCCCACGCGCCCGGCTTCTGGGGGCTCCGGGGCACGAGGCTGCAGGGGCGCAGGCGTGGAAAAGCCTCCCCGAGGGCGCCCCTGAGAGATGGCCTTAGGTCACCCTGGAAAACACGAATCAAAGTGCAAATGGCCTTGGGGAAGGTAAAGCGTCAGCCGCCCGTGACTCAGTCACTGGGGCCTTAGTCCCGCAGGGGGCCAGACGTGGGCATCGACATGTGAAGTCCAGCCGGGCAGTCGGCCAACACCGACCAAGAAGTTCTTAGAAGCAAAGGACAGAGTTCGAGGTAGAAGTGGTGTTCAGTTCAGTCCAGTCCCACGCAAAGAGGCCAGAAAAGTGATAAACCTGCTATGCATTTCTCTCCACTCCAAGATTTACTTGAAACTAGGTGTCTTCAGTTATCTTCTAATTTAAATCTGAGACAGATCCAGAAAGAGGTTTGCTGTAACGCCCTCTTATTTCAGAAAAACTCCCCGATTTTTTTGTTTCAACAAGTTTTGGAAATACCAAAAAGTAGGAAGTAAAAGTGTGTCTCCCACCCATTGGAGAAGTTTGCAAATGTCAAACTCATCAGGTCATGCCAAGATTCAAGGTCAGCTTCAGTGAACAGTTTCTTCCCAACCAAACCCATCCTTGAGAAAACTGAGCCACTTCCTGCCCCTCCCATGCTCAGTGTGTACCTGCCAGATGTTCCTGAACCTGATGGTTTGTGTCTCATCCATCCCCAGCTTGCTCAGAGCTACCTTTGCCTGCAGAATAGAAGTGGAGAGTCTACTAGCGTGATCTGATTGGTTACCCATATCCCCTTAGGGCCCCTCTCTAATCTTTTCACACAACAGAGGGAGTGACTTCGAAAGTGCCGATGGAAAGCACTGGCTGTGTCGTGCAGTAGGCAAAACCACTACCAACTACAATGCCCACATCTCCATCTGGGTGCCAGTTCGAGATCCAACTGATCCACTTCTGATCCAGCTAATGCTCCTGGGAAAGCAGCCAAGGATGACTCAAGTGCTTGGGGCTGAGCACCCACCTGGGAGACCTGGACGACACTCCTGGCTCCTGGCTTCTGGCTTTGGCCTAGGCCAAATCCTAGCAGCTCCAGTCATCAGAGGAGTGACCCAACAGATGAAACATACTTTCTCTCGCTTGCTCTATGTGTGTAACCTTAGCTTTCAAATATGTACAGATTTTTTTTAAAGAATACAAGATGACCCCATCACATACTAGCATAAGCCACTTCAATAGGTCTGCATTGTCCCAGATCTTTCTTGGCCCCCTTAGAAAAGGCTACATTGTCAAGTGCCTTGCCCACTTTCCATAGCTTCTTGCTGTTCAGTCACAGCTATCCAGTGTGGCTCCAGCCTCTCTGGCCTCTTCCATCCCCTCTGACTGATCGGCCCCCTCCCTCCACTGACTGTGCTGGAGTTTTGTGGCTTTGTTCCATGCCGGCCCTCAGCCTTGCAACCTCTGCAGGCTGCACCTCCGAGGAGCACCTGCTGGCCTCTCCACCCTGGTCCCTCACTTTCTGTCACTTCCATCAGACTCACATGCAGCAGGCCACGAGCTTGCTTTGGTGTGGTTCACAGGTATGTGCTCCTATTTGTTCAATGAAGGGCACTCATAGATGTTTAGACCTTGAGCCAGACATGTGTTAAAGGTTACCTAAATCTCAAAAAGGGAAAAATGTCACAGTCTGGCATTTGGAATTAGAGTCTCAAAAGAAAAATTATTTCAAAACTGATTTTATATTGTTTTTCCTGGGTTGTCACAAGGATTTCTGGGCAAACTTTGAAACAGAGCTTTTAAAGCATGTTGTATAAACCCCTGAGTTAGTAATGACAGCTGTGGGATAAGCCGCAGGAAACTAACAACACAGGTTACTGTAAGGGAGGAGGACTGGGTGCCCAGTGGTCAGGGATGGAAGGGAACCATTCTGCTGTCCACCCAAGAAGTTTAAAATGCACCTGGTCCATTTTAAAGCTGGTAAAAATAGCCTACTGGCTAAAACCTTGCCCTGCATGTGCCAGGATCCCATATGGGTACGGGTTCGTGTCCCAGTGGCCCTGCTTCCCATCCAGCTCCCTGCTTGTGGCCTGAGAAGGCAGTCAAGCACAGCCCTAAGCCTTGGGACCCTGCACCTGCGTGGGAGACCAGGAAGAGGATCCAGGCTTCGGATCAGTTCAGCTCCGGCCTTTGCATCCTCTTGGGGATTGAACTAGCAGACTGAAGATCTTCCTTTCTCTCTCCTTCTCTCTGTATATCTGACTTTCCAGTAAAGATTAATAAATCTTGGGGGGGGAAAAAGTGACACAAGATTGCCTAGTGTATGAGTGCATTTGTTTCAAATTCCAGAAAAGGCAAACACTTCCCTATTGTGGTGAAAAAAAAAATCATGATAGTGATTGCCTCTGACAAGGAATTGAAAAGATACATGGAGAACATTATGGGCGATAAAAATGGTCTATCTCTCGATGCAGGTTTGAGTTACATCAGTGTATTGGCTATGAACAAATGCACGGGGGTGGATGTTTAAACTAGTAATTGAGACACCTGTTGAGATGCCCACATCCACATTCCAGAGCCTGGCTTCAGCTCTTGATTCCAGCTTCCTGCTAATGCAGACCCAGGGAAGCATGGCTGGTGGCTCCAATAACTGAGTTCCTGCCACCCACCTGGCTTTGACTCGGCCAACACGTGCTCCCCTGCTCCATCACCTGCAGTTGTAGGCACCTGAGCAATGAACCAGCCGATCTAAGTCTTCTCCCCTACCACCCCAGTCTCTCTGCCTTTCAAATAAATGTTTTAATGTCATCAACATTTCAATATATGAAAACTTTACCCTAAAATATAAATATTAATGCAGTTAAAAAATGATATTGGATACTAGTTGACATAGTTAAGCACTTAATACTCTTTATTTTAACCCTTATGCTATCTTCATGAAAATAAATATTATCATAACCCTCTTGAATATAGGGGAACTGCAACTTAACAAATACCAAGTAATTTGCCTTGATTTGTGCCCCTGGTGAAAGGTGGTAGAGCCTTGAATACAGTCTACCTGGTGGTCCCAGAAGTGGTTAAACACTGGACCCTGAGCTCTTGGTGTATGTGGGCTTTTTGGTTTTTGTTAGTTTGGGTTGGTTTGTGTTTGTTTTGTTTTTGCTTGTTTGTTTATGTATTTTGCTCCCCTACTGGAACAAGAGCATCAATAATGATTGAAAACACATTTGGTCTTAAGCTTCTAAGTAGACATAGCACTTTACAGAGTAGCTTTTTAATATATTTTTAGTGAATGATTAAAAACAAGTCTGGTATTGATTTAATTGGGACAAATTATATATTTAGGTATTTTCTAAATAACTTGTATATATGTATGCATAGACTGTCTTTTCTAACATGTTAACATTTGGCTATATTTATGTGTGTGTATATAATTAAAGCAGCTCGGCACTGCTGTGCTGCATGCCTGAGGTGTTTTATCACCACGCGCACTGAGCTTCTAACACCAGGTTTGGTTTACCCTTTTCTTTCACTCACCCTGAGCACATCAATTTATTCAGTGAAAGAGCTTACACTTTAATGTCTCACTGAAACACCTCATTCTACTCAGGGAAAGAGCTAATTCGAACCTCTCATGAGCGCTCAAGCACTTGCGTAAGTGAAATTCCACTGTGTGAATTCCACACCCCCACGGTCAGGGCTCCAACTCCTGCCATTCTGCTCTTCACTCTGCAGAGTCTCACATGTAGATAGATGCTAGAAGCAGCCCCTTCCTCGGAGACAGTTCCATCTGCAGTAAATGCAGTTAGCACTTCAAGTTTTCTAGGTTGTCATACTGCACACACACAGCCTTAGTGTAGATTTGGAAGGACAATTCCTCCAAACCTGGCTAGAGTTAATTCCTAGAATATCAAGTCTTTAACTGCCAACTGCCACACAGGTGCAAGTCAGTGAGGCATTATCCACAAAAAAAGAAAAGCAAGAGAGAGGCCTTTCCTAAGAGGCAGAAACAACGATTTCAACAATAAGGTCAAACTGGTGAACAAGACCCCGCCCTCTCCTTAGACAGCTGGCACTTGGACTTGTGAGACAACTAGCCATGCACAACTACTGATATCCAAACTGAAATTACCATTTGAGGGGCAGGCAGTTAAGGCAGGCATTTGTGTGGTCCAGCAGTTAAGACACCTACATTCCACCTAGGAGTGCCTGGATCCAATTCCCACCTCTGGCTCCAGCTCCAGCTTCCTGCCAGTTCAGACCCTTGGAGGCAGAGATGGCTCAAGTTGGTTGAGTCACTGCTGTCCACATACTGCTGCCTTCCCAGCCTCAGCCTTTGTAGGCATTTGGGAAATGAATCAGCAGACAGGAGCCATGTTGGTTTTCCTTTCCCATTCCTTGCCTCACACACACGAAAAAAGTTTCTGAATGACACTCCTACATGCTAGTTGGCCAATAGTAGCGCATGTAGCTACTGGCTTTTGTCTTCCACAGCACAGGTATCAAATATTTCCATCCATTAGAAAGTTCTACTGGTGACTGGCATTGCAGCGTAGTTAGGTTAAGCCTTAGGCTGCAGTGCTCCCATCCCATTTGGGTAGTTTTGCGGCCCTTCTGCTCCACTTCTGATCCAGCTCCCTGCTAATGTGCCTAGGGAGGCAACAGAGAATGAACCAGGGACTTAGGTCCCTACCAGCCACATGAAAGACGTAGATGGAGCTCT